TGTTAAAGCCGCCCAGGATTTGAATTTATGCGAGACGAGCGAGGAGGAAGTATCCAGAGTTTTGAATGGGTTAGGACATAATTTGTTGGAGCAAGATGTTGTGGTTGTGGTCAATAACATGACGAACCCTGCAGCATGCTTATGGCCGAGCTGGCAATGTGGAAAAAACTTTAAACTTGTATGATCGTGCTCGGGCGGAGAAATGGAGACTTGATGCTGTAACATTTTCAACGTTGATAAAGATTTATGGTATTTCCGGGAACTATGAAGGATATCGAATTACTATGAGAAGCAACAACGGAGAATAAGGTGAGTGTAAACTAAAGGGGGTAAATTCTACGCCTTACGAAATTTTCCTTGAAATTTTCCTGAGTATAAGTTATTGTTAAAGTTTAAGAAACAAGTTCTTTTTAAGAAGTACCTCACCTTCAAAAAGGTGAAGTCGTTTTAAGTGTTTTTAGTCGCTAGCGCCAGTCCGTTGCCATTTGAGATTTTCAGATAGAGCAGCAGTTATGCTCTTGAGATCTTGGAGACAGAGCAGCAGTTATGCTCTTGAGACTTTTAAGATGAGCAGCAGTTATGCTCTTGAGAATCGTGGTGAAGAGCCACCACGATAAGTTTAAGATGTTAGGGGGATGAATCGTTACGACTCCCCTAACTAAGTTTAAGTTTAAGGAAAGCCTTGATGGCTTCTCGTACGTATGAGTTGGCAACCGGACTAGCTAGTGAGGGATCCCCGTGTTAGTCAAGTATTTAATTCAAGATTTGAGCTTTAAGAGAGGAGAGTAACTTCAACTCCCTCAAGGTTTAAGAGTTAAGATTTTAAGATTGGAAGTACAAACAACTTCCACTAGTTAAAGTTAAGTGTTTAAGTAAAGTATTCAAGTATTAGAAGTATTCAAGTACAAACCACCAGTTTGAGGAGCTAGAGGAACAGTTAGTGAGCAGCGAGTTCGAGGGCAGGCAGCTAGAGGATAGCAGTATAAGCGTCACGGAGGATGCTTAGCCAAGGTTTTCAGTAGCAGCAACTTTAAAGATTATTAGTTATTTACATTTTATGATTGTTAGTATAGACTGGAGATCAGATTGAGGTTTTAAAGTTTGAGTTTATTTTGCCCACGTGTTAGGGCTTTGCTCTGAGCTACAAGTGTGTGCTTTCAGTATTTTATTTATGAAAATTTTTCCCACTGCAATTTAAGATTTGAGTATTTTATTTATCAAGGGCATTTTAGTAAAAGTAGTACCCGGCCGGGATAGGGTGTTTCATTTTGGTATCAGAGCCGGTCTTCCTCTGTTCCTTGGTTTCTAAGGAATACTGGAATATCGGTCTCAGTTTTAAATGTTTTTGTTTTTAAAGGAATTGAAAATGAGTCAAGGATCGTCTTTTAAGATTTTATAGAATCTCCAGTCTACTCTAATCATAATAAGGTGAATAGCTATGACAGTACGACACGGCACAATGGTAGCACGAAGGTGCGCTTGGTTTAAGAATAAGTTAGGGGACGATTTAGTTAACAAGTCGTGGGACGTCAAATAAGAAGCGGAGGTGTTTGGCGATCGTCGGTATGAAAGGAAGGATGCAAGAAACGTGACCAACCCAAGTTGAATCTCAAAGGCTCTCAAGACCAAGTATCTCATCGACATGATGGATAGTAGTGTTTCAATTAGTTAACCAACTACTCGGGCGTTAGCAAACAGATCATCATCATCAACCTAGAGAAGGAAGGAGGAACGTTGCAAAGGTCTGTGGAGGTAGAATCAAATGTGCTAGGACTTCAACTCCAAACACCAGCAAAGAGGTGCCAATCGAAAGGGAATACCTCAAGGATTTTGAAGGAGTTGAGAGAGTAGTACGAGGATTTTACTACTAGGAAAAAAGGGGATGATCTAATAAGCTAAGACAAACAAAGGGGAGAAATATGAATCGCCAAAGAAAGAGCTACAATCACTAGATGTCAGTAGCTATAATGATGAGAGAATTTCAGGGTCCTTGACCCTAAGCAGTTGCGAGGTGACAACGAGTCAAGAAACGAAGATGTACAACGAGAAGTCCCTCAGCTAGTTTTAGTGGTCGACGGCTTAACGCTTTTACAACACGGTGACCAGGACAAATGGAGAGCTTAGACTTTAAGAAAAGCTAGGGTGGTATAAATGAAGCAAGTGAGGTAATAAGTAGGTTACAGGGAGTATGAAAGGACAACAGGAAGCTAATAGGCAAGGTGGAGAGGAGTCCTGGTCGTTTACATATGACGACAAAGGAACCCTTATAGATAAACTACGTCACTAGAGAAAAGGGTACATGACCCTGGGGAATAAGGCTGATAGCAAATCCTTACTAGGAAAAAGACAAGCGTCAAAATTATCGAGGTAGAGGACAGGCTTGGATCAAGAATAACAATGTGCTAGTGAACAACGCCGAGCTAGAAAGAGGATGGAATGTAATATAGGAGGCCACACAAACTACCCAAATCACGAAAGGTCACGAGGTCGTTGGGACCGTGAAAGGGGAATGCAAGAGTTCGTGATGATCTTTTGTGTCATTGGCCTATCCTAAAAGGAGGGAGCATCTATCCACGTAGTAAATGATGGGTGATAGAAGGAGGAACTTCTGTAATAAGTTGAAACTAGGGGGCTAAGAGCTGGGGTCTCAGAACTAGCTATAGGAGTAAGTCATTAAGCCAACCGAGTATAGACAAGTGACTCGAGTTCAAGAAACTGCATAGTGGAGTACGACGTGGAAAACATTACTGGGAAGGAGGAAATCATTAGGTTACCTTATCCAAGGTGCCCCACCCTGAGTGGGAGCGGCATAGTAGGGTGTCATCCTGAGGAAGCGGCTAGTTAAGGATAAGGTAGACACGCGGATATAAGCCACTAAGAACCCATACTATGAGATTAAGGCCATATACAGGCATCAATCTAGACAAAATGACGCGAATGAGGTATGTTAAATCCTACCAAGGGAAATCTCCTATTGGAAGCTTTGACCCAAAACAACAATGAGAAGATACTCAACAGAGGTTGGTGATCAAATATAGTACAAGCAACAACAGAAGAGTTGTAGTTTGGTGGTAGTAAAAGTAAAGAAGCAAGAAGAACACCGTGGGAAGTTATAGAAAAAAAAATGGTTGGCATCAACCTGGCGATGTATGCGTCAAGGAAGATAGTTAAGACGGGCGGAAGCAAGAATACAACAGACAACAAGAAAGCATTAGGTTGACCACCAAAGAGAGAACAACCGATCCATAGGAAGTCCATAAAGATATTTCAGTCAATTTTTAAGGTGGAATGATGATCGTCAGGAATAGTCAAAGGGAGAACCTTATCTATCATGGTAAATAAGTGAGAAGAGACTATAAGAACCTAGATTACTACATCGAGAACAAGGGACATCTAGAACTAATGAGTAACATCAAGGAGAAGAGTCACGAGTAAATAAATAATATGGTTATGAGTTTAGGGAATCTGATAGGGTACCCCAAAGTGAAGCCAAGATGGCCTATGCGGGTGAAAGGTGTCGATCTCTCAGATAAAAATTTATTGGACGGGGAAACCGTACGATGAATTTCAGCTGGGGTACAAAAGTGGCAGAAGGGATAGTACGAGAACATAACATTCAACCAATGATAAGGAAGTGTTAAGTTAGGCGCCAGGAGTGAACAAGTACTCAAAAGGGAAGGTCGTGATTCTGGAAAGAAGTCATAAAGTTGATCGCAAGCTAGAGAGAAATTCAAAGGATGTCTCTAATGCCTACAGAAGGTAAAAGCAGTAGTATGAGGTTTTGGCGCTAAGCAACAAGTAACGAGGAGATGACCATTCACTCAATGCTAAAGGGAGAGACAAAGAATCTTGGATGAAAGTAATAGATTCAAAGTCAGAAGGTACAAGGACCTAGGTGATCTACGTGGTCAACCACAAATGAGGTTATGTTAAAAGAGTTTTACGATATAACAAGATGGAGGTTAAGCCGCTATTAGTAACATTGGGGTTGAAAGGGGTATTAAGAACATTAATAGGGATATGTAAAGAATTTTCTCATGCTAAAGGCACCATATATGGTGAATCAGTGCGTATCAAGTGGAATTATCAAAGAGGAGAATAACGAGGCCTATAAAGGGAGAACGAGCGATACCTAGGAATCAGCATGGGAGTTAATCATTAAGCAGGGCAAACATTCTATACCAAGGAGAGTTGTCAGCAGTCAAGATAGGGAGGACAAATTTCAAGGTCTGGGCCTGGTATGAGCTGAAGTTACGACGAGTCATGACTTGAATAGGGCTAGCTAATAATTTATTTCCTTTATGTTCTTAAGGAATCCTAAGTAGAGACCCAAGACAAATAGTTGAGAATAATATGAGCTACAAAGCCATTACAGCATCAGAGGCATTTAAGAAGGGAGAGTGCCTTAGTGCCATAGACGCATTGAGCAAGTAACTAGCTTGGGCAAGAGATTTATGAAAAGTGAGCGAGTAATTAGTTGGCCAAGAAGCAAACGCAGTCCCACACGAATAGGAGAAAAGGGTTCATAGCTCAAGGTCGTACCAGGTAAAGGAAGTATACATCCCGGTAGTAGAAGGATTTCCTTAAGTGAGGCCTTAGGTTGTCGCGATGAACAAATTTTGAGGTCAAAAATTTTTCTTAAGGAGGGAGGAAATGTTATATCCCAGTCGAGACAACCTCTATCAATTGCAAGGTATTTTAGTCCAAAGGCCAAGTACACCGTTCCAATTTCGGGGACGAAATTGTTTTTAAGGGGGGAGGAAATGTAACACCCCATTTTCAAGTTAGGGTTCGATTAAGGTTCGACCGAACGTTTGGATCGACGGTTACGTACAAAGAGTTACAACCACAGATTAGAGATAATAATAATAATAATAATATATTATTATTCATTAAAATGAAACCCCAAACCCCCACCCCAATCGGCATTAAGTGGAGAATCCCTTTTCCCCTAAAACCATTGCTTTCCTTCTTCTCATTCCCTGCTCCTCAAAAGCTCGATGCAGTCCCGCAGCAATCCGAAAAGGAGGAGGAAAATGCCAGAGACACAATTGAAAAAAAAAACAGTTGGGACTTCGTCCAAATCCTACGTCTGGGTGAATCCTAGAAGCGCTAGAGCTTCCGAGCTCCGCAGGAAGTCATATGACGCTAGGTATTCTTCTCTTGTTAAAGCCGCCGAGGATTTGAATTCATGCAAAACGAGCGAGGAGGAAGTTTCCAGAGTTTTGAATGGGTTAGGACATAATTTGTTGGAGCAAGATGCTGTGGTTGTGGTCAATAACATGACGAACCCTGCAGCATGTTTATGGTCGAGCTGGCAATGTGGAAAAAACTTTAAACTTGTATGATCGTGCTCAGACGGAGAAATGGAGACTTGATGCTGTAACATTTTCACCGTTGATAAAGATTTATGGTATTTCCGGGAACTATGAAGGATATCGAATTACTATGAGAAGCAACAACGAAGAATAAGGTGAGTGTAAAGTGGATACATTCTACGCCTTACGATTTTCAAGTATTTCCCTTGAGTATTTTCGAGTATTGCTTTGCATAATGTATGTGCAGTATTTGATTCATGTTTGAGATTGCATGATTATGGTTGGTGATTTGTGCCTTGTTTGAATTATGACTTGAAGTGACTGGTTATTATTTACCTTGAAATTTTCCTGAGTATAAGTTATGGTTAAAGTTTAAGAAACAAGTTCTTTTTAAGAAGTACCTCACCTTCAAGAAGGTGAAGTCGTTTTAAGTGTTTTTAGTCGCTAGCGCCAGTCCGTTGCCATTTGAGATTTTTAGATAGAGTAGCAGTTATGCTCTTGAGATCTTTGAGACAGAGCAGCAGTTATGCTCTTGAGATTTTTAAAATGAGCAGCAGTTATGCTCTTGAGAATCGTGGTGAAGAGCCACCACGATAAGTTTAAGATGTTAGGGGGATGAATCGTTACGACTCCACTAACTGAGTTTAAGTTTAAGGAAAGCCTTGATGGCTTCTCATACGTATGAGTTGGCAACCGGACTAGCTAGTGAGGGATCCTCGTGTCAGTCAAGTATTTAAGTTAAGATTTGAGCTTTAAGAGAGGAGAGTAACTTCAACTCCCTCAAGGTTTAAGAGTTAAGATTTTAAGATTGGAAATACAAAACTCTTCCACTAGTTAAAGTTAAGTGTTTAAGTAAAGTATTCAAGTATTAGAATTATTAAAACGTAAGGGCGTAGACATACCCCGTCTCACTCACCAGTTTGAGGAGCTAGAGGAGCAGTTAGTGAGCAGCGAGTTCGAGGACAGCCAACTAGAGGAGAGCAGTATAAGCGTCACAGAGGATGCTTAGCCAAGGTTTTCAGTACCTGCAACTTTAAAGATTATTAGTTATTTACATTTTATGATTGTGAGTATAGACTGGAGATCAGAATGAGGTTTTAAAGTTTGAGTTTAATTTGCCCACGTGTTAGGGCTTTGCTCTGAGCTACAAGTGTGTGCTTTCAGTATTTTATTTATGAAAATTTTTCCCACTGCAATTTAAGATTTGAGTATTTTATTTATCAAGCGCATTTTAGTAAAAGTAGTACCCGGCCGGGTTAGGGTGTTTCACCTATTTCAACTCAAAATTTGAAAAATTTGTATATATAGCAAACATTCATTAAGATCTACATAGTTATATCCATTTTGTTATATTTTTCAAGCATAAGACCTCATACCAACATCATATCATTGTCATGTCAATCATATCCTCGTGATGGAAGCAAGTTTTTCACGGTCACACTAACCGTGATAATGGAGCCTAGACCTTGAAGAGCAAGGAATTCAGAGGCCTTTGTGCACCTCGCATGCGTAATAGACATCACGGTCACTTCACCGTGATAATTCGCCCATCACGGTGAAGTCATTTAATGAGATGGGTCGTTTTTGTTCGAGATCATGGTCCAAATTAACTTTAAATTCACGGCCGTGAACTGGGACTACACTCAATCTGTGTATATTAGGAGAAGGGAGGTGAAACAAAAGAAAAGGGAACCTAGTGAGAGGGAAATCCCCTTCACGGCCGTTTGAGTTGTGTTCTCCATTTCTCATTATGCTAATTTGACCCAGGTAGGGGGAAATCCCCTTCTTGCTAAGAGGCTTTTATAAGCTGGATTATTTGGCCAATTGAGCCACCTACTTAGGCCAAATTAGGGCAAACCTCAAACTTCGATTGAGCACTTTGAGTTGGTTGTTGTTTTGCCGTCCGGATTAAGGCCCGAGGGTGTAGCCTTGGTAACACTTAATCGATTGGCCAAGAGAGCTAATTTGTTAGCTATATTCTTCATACTAGCATGGTATATTAAACCTTAAAAAACATTTTTTTAGAAATATATCACAGTGAAGGATTTTATAGAGTTTAATTTATTCAACTTTTCCATGCAAAAGAATTTAAAATTTGAGTTAAAATGTATGAGTAAGTAGTCCGTAAAATATGTTGACTCTGCCCAGGTCATTGTTGTTCGTAAGCCCATTCAAATTCCACTACGCTCCGCAGTTTTCATCAACGAATGCCCATTTAATTTACTTCCTTACTATTTGTAGATGATTTCACTACATCGATCTAGATCTTTCTTATGAAAAAGAAAAGTGAAGTCAATAAGCTTTTAATCATACAATTATTTAAGTTTGTTTTCGCCCAACATCTGTAAACATTTAAAGCAATCTGCACATATAATGGATTAGGATATCAAATGATGATTTCTTTATTTCAGGAGGTATTGTTCATCAAATTACTTGTGTTCATATACATCACAACATATTGGATAGGTAGAACACAAACATCAGCATGTCATACCAATAACTAGAGCATTGTTATTTCAGCAACACATGTTGTTCATTTGATTAATAGGAGCCCTACTCTCCTTCTCAATCATCTCACTCGTTATGCAAAACTCCACAAAAAAACCCCTACTCTCAATTAGCTAAGAGTATTTGGTTGCCTAGCTAGCTTATCCTTCGACAACTGAAGCTAGTAGAACCAAATTAGATGACAAAGCTAATCGCTTGCTTCCACCAGTAACTAGGGTTTACATACTTTTTTTTTTTGGGTGAAAACCAAAGGTCATCGTTGTGCAACCTTTGCACACACTATTCACTCATTTCTAGGGATTTGTCGTCCATGATAAGATATTTCATTTATCATTCGTCCATTGAAAGACATTTCCTTCATTATGCATCGCAAGTGATCACAACATCCCCAAACAACTTCACAAAACTCAGGTGCTGCTTTTCAGCATCGCAACGACATATCGATGAGTTCCATATCTTGTTCGTTATGGTTAGGAGATTTAATCATATAACTATCCGATTTGCTATAATTCAAATTTGTCGTCAGATCACTTACAAATAATTGGCCTGAATTCTCGGACAGTGAAGATAGAGAGGAGATGTGAGTGGGATTGAATCTTGGTCGAGCAACCAACTTCCACCTTGAATTCTTCTTAATTAGCACATCATAATGCTTCGGCAGGTAATGATCAATGACTGCTCTGGTACCATGTAAAACTGAATGATAATAATCGAAATCAATGCACGACACTAGATACAAGTGATTTCCCTCATTAATTAGTGTGACCTGGACTGCTTCACGTAGAATGTGAGTTCAGAGGATTATTATCGCACAACTATATATTCTTCAAGCTTCTCTGTTAGTCTGTTACACAAGCCCATGTTCCCCCTTACCTTAATTAGTGCATTGGCTAAAATCATCGTGCGTAATTAGGATTAGTAGAAAAGTAGAAAATAGTTCTCTTAACTTGTATAGTAATACAAACGTGGATGAAGTTACAGCGGCAAGGCCGCTACAATCAGAATAGCCAAATTAGGCCCTGCTGTGCCCATATTGTGGAAATTAATTGGTCATTCTTGCTAAACTTAAACCCAAAATGAACATAAGCACCGAACCAAAGAGGAATGGATTAGGTTAGTAACCTTATGGTGAGTAACCCGTCCACATCAGCATGACATCAGCATCCTTTCTCTCCTGGAAAGCCTTTAATTTTCCCCTCTTTAATCTTTGACAGACGATTTCTCACTCATTTTAAGTCGAAATTTAATTTTTTTTGCAAAGTTAGATCACATTAATTGTGCTCTTCAAAATGATATCCACTTTAATATATTTTTCGAACAAAAAAAATTGGGCCATTTTTCACCAGTCTATACCATATGGTATTGACTGGTATTGAAATAAAAGCATACCTATGGTTTGATAAACGTACCATGGTGGTATGAACAAACCAAGACTGTAGGATGGTTGAATACATGATAGTAGAAGTATATTAATTGTCATTTACGACTTTTAACATTGTATACCACACAATACCACCCCGTACAAGGGTGGTATTGTATGGTATTGTGTGGTATTTTTTGGTAATGTAATTTTTTCACCCAGAAATTTGTAGATCCAATAGATCATGATGAACTCGTCCTTTCTGTGCAAACGTTTTCAAAAACGAATTAAAAACGAAGAAGATACCATACAATACCACCTCGTACCAGGGTGGTATTGTATGGTATTGTGTGGTATTTTTTGGTCATGTAATTTGTTCACCCAGAAATTTGTAGATCCAATAGATCATGATGAACTCGTCCCTTCTGCGCAAACTTTTTCAAAAACGAATTAAAAACGAAGAAGATACCATATGCTATATAGTTGGTACCGAGAGGCCAGAATTTTTTTTTTCTCAAAAAATATTGAAAATTGATCTCATTTTGTAGAACACGATGAACTCGTTCCATCTGTGCAAAAAAAAATTAAAATCTGAGTTAAAACGAAAAAGATATGAGTCAATTAAGAAAACTAGAAAAAATAAAAATGGTTTTTAATTCTCCATCCTTATGTCTGAATTTTCTAAATAAAATGTCCAGATTTGGTTATTGATGGGTGCATAACCCATGGTTATGCACCCTATCTTGAGCCGAACCAAAGATCGGATGTAGCATTTTAGCTACTTCGATCCATAAGGACCAGAAGACTGTCTGTAACAGAAGATAGAACAAAACATACCCATACCCTTTCAGTTTCTACCCAAATTTAGCCGGCCTATTGAAAAAATTAGAACAAAACATCCCAAAAGACCAAAAGTATCACCCAACAGCCCTAACACCATGATGATCATTTGAACCGAAATCAACCGTTTTAATTAATAAGAGTAGGAGACTGCTACGTACGTAGAACTAAGTCAGTCTACCATCCCAAGTTGTCTTTGAAAAGCTTCCAACTTGCATTGGACTGAGCCAATCTCTCCTTGGCTCTCATCCTATTTTCCACCGCTTGCCTGCTCTCATCGCATTGCGTCTTCAGCTCTTCCAATTCCTTGGCAGCCTCTTGA